GCCATGTGTGCATAGCCCTTGGTGCATATCCCTGTCTTGGACCCGTAGTTCACATTGGTCACGACGTGTCCGTAGGAAAGGCCCAGTGCTTGGGGTTTAGGGTTTAGGGTTTCGGGTTTCGGATTTTGAGGCTTCGGGGTCTGTTCTGAACCCCAAACCCTAAGCCCTAAACCCCAAACCCTAAAACCCCTGGACCCCAAGCCCTAAACCCCAAACCCTAAACCCCTAGACCCCAAACCCTATGCTTCTTTGAAGTTGCATCGGTCTGGAGGTCAGGGCTCCGATGGGGTCCGATGGGGTCTCGAGGCCTCGAAGTTGAGGTTGCAAGGATTGGGGCTTTCAGGGGTAAGCCCCTGAAACCACACTAGGGTTTAGGGTTTTAGGATTTAGGGTTTTAGGGTTTAGGGTTTAGGGTTTAGGGTTTAGGGTTCGAAACCCTAAAGGGCCCCAATCCTTCTTCCCGGAAGCGTAGTAGGCGAAGCCGCTGCCATCGGTGTGGCGGAGTATGGCGGGCTTGCCATCCGCATACCTCCGAGGCACGTGTTTGCTTCCAAGTTCCCAAACAGGACACCCTAAACCCTAAACCCTAAAACCCTAAAACCCCAAAAGCCTAAAAGCCTAAAAGCCTAAAACCCTAAAACCCTAAAACCCTTAACCCTAGACTCCTAGACCTCCAAGGCATGAGCGCCCGAGAGACAAGGTAAGTATCCTAACATCTCCACAACCGGTTTAGGTTTAAGGGTTTAGGGTTTAGGGTTTTAGGGTTTAGGTTTTAGGGTTTAGGTTTTAGGGTTCAAACCTGCTACCTAGCAGGTTTTACGGCTCAGACTTTCCAGAGGTTCGGGATTAACCAGCTCACCTACACCCTGGAATCAAACCCAACTCGCCGCGACTTTCCAAGCGGGACCCGATGACCTAGGACACGGTGACGAAGCGCAGACAGCCACACCAATCCTAGATCTGAGGGCTTAGGCATCAGGACTTGGGCCAAGCTTAAGCCTCAACCCTACACAGCGCGAAAACAGAACAAAACCTTGGCCCCAACCCGAAACCCCAACACCCTGGAACCCTAAACCCTAAACCCTATAAACCCTAAACCCTGAACCCTAAACCCTGAACCGTTTGCTTAAACCCCCCCCCCCCTAACCTTCCCAACCAGAAATCGCTGAGATCCATAAGAAAAACAGGCTAGTTTAACAACCCCCTTGGATTTTCAAGATTACAAACTACAAGAATACCACTTAATTCTTAAAGAACACTACCAGTACAGTGTTAGCACTATAAACCACCCTAAACCCTAAACTCGAAACCCTAAACCCTAAACCCTAGACTAAACCTTAAACCCTAAACCCGAAACCCCAAACCTTAAGCCCTAAACTCTAATTCCTGAGAACACGCGAGCTCCCTCCCTGTCTCTTTCTTCCGGGGGCCTGGCCTCAGATCTAGCCTCAGCAGTTCCAAGAGGGATTTAGGGTTTAGGGATTTAGGGTTTTAGGGTTTTTGGGCTTTTGGAGTTAGGTTTGGGGTTTAGGGTTTAGGGTTTAGGGTTTAGGGATTTAGGGTTTGGGCTTTGGAGATTTAGGGTTTAGGGGTTTCGGCTTTAGGGTTTTGGGGTTTTTGGGGCTTTTGGAGTTGGGCTTTAGGAGTTTAGGGTTTTTCGGGATTTAAGGTTTAGTAACATTTAGGATTGGAGGTTTAGGGGTTTAGGAGTTCAGGGTTTGTTGGGATTGAAGGTTTAATAACATTTAGGATTTGTGGGTTTAGGGTCGCTAAAGCCTAAACCCGAATTGAAACTGACTTCGCGGTTCAAAGTTCAGCTGGAGGCTGGGAGCTCGGGGTTGAATGTTCGGCCGAGTGCTCTTTTTTTGCATTTAAGCTGAGGGTTCTTAGGAGCTTAGGCTTCGAGGGGTAGAGCTTGGGGGTTCGGACAGTTTAAGGTTTAGGGTTTAGGGCTTAGGGTTTAGGGTTTAGGGAGGGTTTAGAGTTTAGGGCTTAGGGTTCTGGGAGGGTTTAGGGTTTAGGGTTTAGGCTTCAAGCTACTGAGAGGGATTGAGGTTTTGGGGTTCCTGGGTCTGTACGTGCTACAGACATTTCAAAGTGTTGGGCAAGTTTGGCCGCGGTTTAGGCTTCGTTCTTCCTCTTTGGGATGTAGGGCTTGGGCTTTAAGGTTTAGGGTTGAGGTTTGGGAGTTCCGTGTTTTGGGCTTAGGTTTCGAGCTTCGGGTTTAGGGTTTTGGGGCCCAAAAAAGTTAGCAGCTTCAGGTTTAGGGTCCGGGAGTAGTTCAAGCCCTTAGACGTTAAGCAAGAAACGATGTTTTGCAAGATCCCCGGAGAAGAAGCCATAACCCCGCAACCCCCCAAAACTAAATGAAGTACCCAAGAGCCGCAGAGCCGGACGCCTTGACATCCCAGGCACCCGAACCCTCAAAAAGCACCCTAAGCCCTAAACCCTAAACCCTGATACCCTAAACCCTGAACCCTAAACCCTAAACCCTAAACCCCAAACCCTAAACCCCAAACCCTAAAGCCAAACAAAAAGGGAGCCCGGATCCGGGGTCAGCACACTTCATAACCTGGGCTAAGGGCGTGGGTTTAGGGTTTAAGGATTCGGGGTCCCGCGTTTTGGGGATTCAGTGTTGAGGACTCAGGAGCTTAGGAAGCCTGTTCCAGCGACTTTTGGTTTAGGGTTTAGGGTTTAGGGTTTGGGGTTTAGGGTTTAGGGTTTAGGGATTTCATGTGGGCGCGTGTTCCTTCCCCTGTGCTCTCAGGTGATGTAACAAAGTTTATCCGGAATGCCCCTCCGGATGGTTCCGTGAAGTTGAGGGCTCGCCGTATGCTCAAACGGCACATTAGGATCCGATACGAATCGAAGCCGAAAGCAAGAGTGCCCATCAACGAGAGCTCAGGATCGCGTTAGGCCTCGGCACCCTTAAAGCGGAGAACGTGGGAAGGTATTGTCTTGAATGGGGGCTTTTTGCACCACAACTCCTGAAACAACCTACCTGACCTACATCCTTGTGCACATGGTGCACGACGGTGCAGACGAAGGTGATGAATGCTGTCGGGACACGCTGTCCGGCAGTTTTCCCGGGCATCACGAGAAGCCACGCCTAAAGCACAGAGACCTCTATGTCAAGGTTGCACGATCTACGCTTTAGCCAAAGCAGTGTGATTGGCAAGTTGCACTTGAACCTGGATACTCCTTAAACTCTCACAAATCAAGCAACACCCCTACAATCCAGAACGCGCCCCCCGCCCCCACGAAGCCAAAGCTGCGGCGGAGAGTTGTTCATCTTTACAACCACCGTACAGATATCCGGCTCAGGATTTGAGGTCGCTTTGTTACTGAAAGCACGGGGCTCGGGGCTCTAGGAGCCAGCACTAAGGTTTTGGGGGACAGCACATGCTTAGCTTCCCTGAAACCGACTTGCCCAAAATTCTGACCCCAAAGCCTTCAACCTGAACTCTAAGGCCCCAATTGCCTAAAGTCAAGCCTCAAAAAAATCCAGCCCCCCCAAACCCTAAGGGCCCTTAACCCTAAGCCTCTTGAACCCTGAGCTCCCTGAACCCCTAAAGGCCCGCAAACCCCAAAGGCCGAAGTTTTCACCCTGTCAGGGCTGCAGGGGGGGGGGAGCTCCCCGTTTCTGGGAATTCTCAGCGCTCCTTGTCAGAGGTACACCGGCTTCGGGCTTAGGGTTTAGGCCGATCGGGCTTAAAGATTGTTTAGGGCAGTTTAGGGTTTAGGGATATCATGCAAAACCCGAAACCCTCAACCCTGCATGCACATGAGCTCTTGTCGGTGGCACGGCCGTCGCATCACTCAAGTCAATGCGCAAAGTGAATTATGAAGCCCAGGTGGATGCGAAGAGATTGTAGGTTGATGGTTTAGGGATACATCATCGATTTTGCTGGGTTTGAAAGAGTTTTTGCCACAAGACCCATCTGCCGCACTGGGGCGGCCGCATCCTGGTACTTCTGGTTTCGCTGCGACGGGCTACCAGTGCAACTGGGAGCTCGAAATCTACCCTCAACCCCGACCTAAACCTGGAGAGGTAGATCATAAGATCATATACCGTATAACGAGATAACAAGAAGTCGTATAGGCTTAATACAAGAGCCACGGCACATGGTACAAACTCTCCACGGTTGAACGGGCAATTTCAGTCCCTTTCTCGCTTCCGCCTCGCACTGTTCAACGTTGTCTTGAGAAGCCGCCATGATGCAGAAATGACAGGCCACGAAACGTTACGAATTGGCGGGTTGGGTTTAGAAGGCGAGAGCGATGCGGAAGCCAGTGGTGTTGAGATTTTTGGCCGTAGTCTGGGCCGTTTGCTGCTTCCTCGAGGATTGTCAGCCGAACCAACTATTCAGAGCTTCTGGTGTGAACCTTCTTGGGCCTGGGCGTGCCCCAAGATAAGATCGGGACCTGAATACTTCGACAGTGGTTTAAGAAATTGACATTACATGGTTCAGTGTTGGTCTACGGCTTCTGGGTACTTCATCGCTACATAATATACTGATATACTGCTATACTAGTACCATTAGAATAGTACTATAATGGTACTTAGTGTATGACACTATGATGCTATTACTAGATTCAGGCCCTGGCGGCCACCCTTGGTGCATCGCTGAACGGAGTAAGGAAAACAAACGAGCCTGTTCTTTTGTGTTACTCCCAGTGCTCCGCAGCATCGACTGATGCACCAAAGTGCTGGCATCAGTCACATCCTGACGACGACAACATGGTTGAAGTTCCGAACATCTTCGAGTGCCTCTCACAGGAAAGCCGGGATCGAAATTGCAAGCTGCAAAAACCCCGTGGGCACCGCCGGGCCTTGGCACCCTCGGCTCCGATCTGGTTGTCGCTGAGGTTGATGTGGGTGACCGTACAGTTGGATTTCAGAGCATCTGCGAGTGCCTCTCACAAGAAACGCGGGGTCGAAACTCGAAACTGCAAGCTGCAAAGACCCCGTGTGGGCACCGCCTGGCCTTGGCGCCCGCCTCTCCGATCTTGTTGCTATCGAGGTTGACATGGGTGACTGTACAGTTGGACTTCAATCCATCTGCGAATGCCTCTCAGCGGAAAGGCGGGGTCGAAATTGCAAGCTGCGAAGACCCCGTGGGCACCGCCTGGCCTTGGCACCCGCGTCTCCGATCGCGTTGCGGCGGAGGTTCACGTGGGTGACCGTACAGTTGGACTTCAAGGCATCGGCCAGTGCCTCTCAGCAAAAACGCGGGGTCGAAAGTGCAAGCTGCAAAGACCCCGCGGGCACGCCTGGCCTTGGCGCCCTCGGCTCCGATCTCGCTGCCACGGAGGTCGATGTGGGTGACCGTACAGTTGGATTTCAAGGCATCCGCCAGTGCCTCTCAGCAAAAACGCGGGGTCGAAAGTGCAAGCTGCAAAGACCCCGCGGGCACCGCCTGGCCTTGGCGCCCTTGTCTCCGATCTTGTTGATTTCGAGGTTGATGATGGTGACCGTACAGTTGGACTTCAAGGCATCGGCCAGTGCCTCTCAGCAAAAACGCGGGGTCGAAAGTGCAAGCTGCAAAGACCCCGCGGGCACCGCCTGGCCTTGGCACCCTCGGGTCCGATCTGGTTCCAACCGAGGTCGACGTGGGTGACCGTACAGTTGGACTTCAAGGCATCGGCCAGTGCCTCTCAGCAAAAACGCGGGGTCGAAAGTGCAAGCTACAAACACCCCGTGGGCACCGCCTGGCCTTGGCGCCCTCGCCCCCGATACTGTTCAAACAGAGGTTCACGTGGGTGACCGTACAGTTGGACTTCAAGGCATCGGCCAGTGCCTCTCAGCAAAAACGCAGGGTCGAAAGTGCAGGCTGCAAAGAC